AAAGAAAGAAAGAAAAAGGCGCCGGATCGGGGGTATGTTAAAGTCACATGCTATCGATTTTCCGGAGGGCCAAAAGTATATTGAGTTGAATTAATTGTTCATCACAGAGACCTAACTGTGCTTGTTTGTTTGCAAACGCGCAAATATCGTACTTTATCTCTTTCTGCCTAAGAATATTAGCGCACCGGTTATCTACTATTGATTACACAATAGTACGAAGCACAGAAACATTTAGGCAGCATCTACAAGGCGATCAAGCATTGCGATGTTTCCGCGTATTTGTGCCGTCGAAGGGCAAATAACATGCCTTGTCAATCCACCATAATCACAGTGCTCTTAATATCCACACTATAGTCTAACCAGACTATTCTTAGTCCGATGTATTTAAGGTGAGACCCTCCGCCAACTATGACGTCGCGCAGGGCTGTATGATCCGAGATGCAACCAGGCAGCTGCTTTTTACCATCCCATCAGAGACAGCCAAGCTGACTGCAGGTTATAAAAAGAACATGAACCGTAAGTGCGACCCCATTGAACCCTGTTGTCTAACGTGTTCAACGCGCACAATGTCGGACACCGCCACGCAGCCCGTGGCTGTGACACTTGAGGGCCGATCAGCTGTTGGCCCAGTGATGAAAGTGGAGATCCGATGAGCCATGGAGCCAAAACTCAGTATCCATGGGTGTTTAGGCGGATTGTTTCAGGGGAAGGACAGTCGGACAATTGTGATTGTAAGGTTCTAGTGGGACTCAGGTACTTTATGAAAATTGAGAGCATGTCGTCCATTAATCCATAGCATGATATCTAGAATTAATCATGCGATAGATAGCAAAGCCGCAGAGTGCCTCGTGGGTGTGTCTGTAGAAAAGGCGAGTGGAGACTCACATTCTTTTGTTATGATTATGACCCCCAACTTCGGTCGGGATGACCCAATCAAGGCAAGTCAGAGTGCGAATCCACTTCACTAGACTCTTCAATCTATCCCAATCTGCTCGTCGTCATTGATCGTCCCCGCGGTTCCTTGGTCAACGGGCTTCAACTTTTTCCACCCTCAATCCTGCAGTATCAGTTGTTAGTGTTAGTGTTCCTGTCCGTGGCGCTGCGGCGACGAGGCCGAACCGCCGTCACGAGCAAAGCCCACGGCCCAAAAAAAGCTGTCGTCTGCCAAAAGATCGGTTCAACCATTCTTTCTTTCTGACATCCTGACCCCCGTTTTATTACTTTGATTATTCTTCTTCATTTCCCTCTTCCTTCTCCTGTCCCGTCCGTCCCTTATTTTCCCCATAAATCAGACTCGCCTATCAGAATCTGAAACTCCCGCCAGCGACGGAGCCTCTGCGCTATCGCAGCGACCTGAACGCTCGTCGATTCCCACATTCCACCAGTCCCTCCTGGCGCAATCTCCAATCTCGATTCCTCCCCCTCCCCCCCCTTAGCCAGGAATTCACAAAGGGGGCTGGTCTATTGGAACGCTTAATTGTCCGACGCACTATCGGCCATTATGTCCTATAATCGCTTGGGTAGGTTCTTAATAATTTCTCCGCTGCTGGTCTACTTGGGACAGCTTGCGCGGCCGTGACTTGTCGCGCATTCGCTCCCTTCTCCGCATCAATTTCCCTCCTGAAACCCTAGTGTCGGGAGCGAGCCTTACTATACGAGGGAATTTGCTCGTATCTGCATGCGAGAGCTACAGACCTTTTGTGTCTGTTGTGCTGTCATTGTCGCACCGCCATTTCATTTTCAATTGCGCATCCCGCATAGGGCGTTTATACTGACCGTCGAGTGCAGGAGACCCCTACGGGGAGGAAGAGAGTCACACTCCCATGATGAATCCTCACCATCTCGATGCTCGATCCCCGTCACCGGGCCGGCCATTGAACGCCTACCAGCTGTCGGATAATCCCTATGCGCCTCGCGAACACCTGGAGATGCCCTCCAGCGATCGGCTGGCAGAACAACCAACGGTACGGATGTTCTTGGAGTTGTGATTGATGATGATGATGCTAATTGCCATGCTCCTGAACTAGTATTCGGTGGAGAGACTCCCAAATTCTTATGGTCATAACGAACTCTACGAAGATCACCACCCTCATGCCTACCCTGGTTACGAATACTCCCTTGACCCGGAAGCGCATCACGACGCTTACTATACCCAACCTTACCAGCCGGCGGTAACGCCGCATGAAGACTATGACTTGGGGCAATATCCCGAGCATCAACAATCGTATACCGATGATCGGGTCCCTATACTGCAACCAGACAACCCATTCGGGCCGGATCCGTATGCCGATGAGTATGAAGAGGAGCCTACGATCGCACCTACGCCTAGTCCGGCGCCGGTTCGTCGATGGAAGACCGTCAAGGAGGTGCAGCTCTTCAACGGTAACCTCGTGCTGGATTGCCCGATTGCGCCCGCTCTGCTCAGTCAGGTCCCTCACGCCGAACCCCCGGGTCGAGATGAGTTCACACACATGCGTTATTCTGCCGCCACGTGCGATCCAGCCGACTTCTTCGAGGAGCGCTTTACGCTACGTCAGAAGCTTTTCGCCAAACCTCGGCACACGGAGCTTTTCATCGCGGTCACCATGTACAATGAGGATGATTTCCTCTTCGCTCGGACGATGATTGGTGTGTTCAAGAACATTGAGTACATGTGCTCCAGGACATCAAGCAAGACGTGGGGCAAAGATGCATGGAAGAAGATTGTGGTGTGTGTCATCAGTGATGGTCGTGCGAAGATCAATCCGCGCACGCGCGCTGTCCTGGCTGGTTTGGGATGCTATCAGGATGGTATTGCCAAGCAGCAAGTCAACGGCAAGGATGTCACAGCACATATCTATGAATACACCACGCAGGTGGGTCTAGAATTGAAGGGAGGCCAGGTTAGCCTCAAGCCTCGGTCTGGTTGCCCCGTCCAGATGATCTTCTGTCTGAAGGAAAAGAACCAGAAGAAGATCAACTCGCACCGTTGGTTCTTCCAGGCATTTGGACGCGTGCTGGATCCGAACATCTGTGTTTTGTTGGATGCGGGTACGCGGCCCGGAAAGGACTCGATCTACCATCTATGGAAGGCCTTCGATGTTGACCCGATGTGTGGAGGTGCTTGCGGTGAGATCAAGGTCATGTTGTCGCATGGAAAGAAGCTGCTCAACCCGTTGGTTGCCGGACAGAACTTCGAGTACAAGCTCAGCAACATCCTTGATAAGCCGCTGGAGTCTGCGTTTGGATTCATTACCGTCCTTCCGGGTGCCTTCTCCGCCTACCGATACGTCGCGCTGCAGAACGACAAGAACGGACAAGGTCCGCTAGAACGATATTTCCTGGGAGAGAAGATGCATGGTGCCAATGCCGGTATTTTCACGGCAAACATGTACCTGGCCGAGGATCGTATTCTTTGCTTTGAGATCGTGTCGAAACGCAACTGCCGCTGGCTGCTGCGATACGTTAAGTCGTCCAATGGTGAAACCGATGTCCCAGACCGGATGGCCGAGTTTATTCTTCAACGTCGTCGTTGGCTTAACGGTAGTTTCTTCGCTGCGGTTTATGCCATTGCGCACTTCTGGCAGATTTGGCGAAGCGACCATAGCTTCATGCGAAAGTTCATGCTGTTCATCGAGTTCATCTATCAGACCATCAACATGCTGTTCGCATGGTTTGGCATTGTAAGTAGCTTCTCCCTCTCAGGCGAAACATCACTAACCGGCACAGGGCAATTTCTTCCTGGTTTTCCATATCCTTACAGAGTATCTGGGCGATGACGACCTGCTGGGCACAGTTGGTAAAGTGCTTGGCGTGGTATTTGAGTGGCTCTACCTCGCGACGTTGGTAACTTGCTTTGTTCTGGCGCTGGGTAACCGACCCGGTGGATCGAACAAATTCTATATGACAATGGTCTATTTCTGGATTGGCATCATGATATACCTGGCATTCGCAGCGGTATTCGTGACCGTAAAGTCGATTCAATCACAAGTGCAGGAAAACGGGTTCACCTTTTCGGATCTCTTCACGAACTACCAGTTCTTCTCGATTATCGTGTCGCTCGGCTCTACCTATGTGATGTGGTTCCTCGCCTCATTCATCTTCATGGACCCGTGGCACATGTTTACCTCCGTAAGTATCCCAGCACTGCTGATGTCATTATCTTCTAACCCAAACAGTTCATTCAATACATTCTCCTCACTCCGACTTACATCAACGTGCTCAACATCTACGCCTTCTGTAACACTCACGACATCACATGGGGTACGAAGGGAGACGACAAGGCAGAGAAACTGCCGTCGGCAAACCTCAAGCCCGGCGGCAAGGTCGATGTCAACATCCCGCAGGACGACGGCGATCTGAACGCGCAATACGAAGCCGAACTGGCCAAATTCGCATCGAAGCCACCCAAGGAGGAGAACACTGTCTCCGAGGAAGACCGCCAGGCCGACTATTACAAGGGATTCCGTAGTGCGGTCGTGCTGGTATGGGTGTTCTGCAACTTTGCCCTGGCCGCGGTGGTGCTCAGCGCGGCTGGTCTGGAGGAGTTCAGCAGCGACCAGGAGACGACGGAGAACACGCGCGCCACCATTTACATGGCGGTGGTGCTGTGGAGTGTGGCAGGATTGTCACTTTTCAAGTTCATGGGAGCGATGTGGTTCTTGACTGTGCGGATGGTAAGTTTCCCAGACCCTAAAGGTGTGAATTCAGCTAACGAAGGTTTACTAGTTCCGTGGTGTTTAATCTGGCGTTCGATGAGTCGGCTTAGATGGACAGATAAACAGACAGACAGCATACCGCTGCAGGCTCGGTATGGTATGATGATGACAAGCAATGATGGTTTCATGATACACGGGGCAATGGGATACCCGGTTGTTGATATGATAGATAGTTTTTAGTTTATGTAACATATGACATTATGCATTTTACACATATAGCCAAGTAACTTCGTGGGAAAGACAAACTCATACAGCCCAATTTCCGACTCTCACCTTTGTTTGTGATATTAATCATTAAAAAGACAGCATAATAACAACAGCATCATTGGTCTAGTGGTAGAATTCATCGTTGCCATCGATGAGGCCCGTGTTCGATTCACGGATGATGCACATCTTTTTGCGATTCTTTTTTTTTATACCTCGCCTCCGACTCTCATCACTAATCAACCACACCAACTTAGAATACTACACTATACCCCTAAAAACCCATAACACAACCTAGATACTAGTAATAGAAAAGAAAGAAGAAAACTAAGCCATAACACAAACCGCAATCCCACCCAACACCAACGCCATCCCCAACCACGTCTCGCGCTCAATGACCTTCCTCTCAACATACCATTCGCCCAACACGGTGAACAGAAACGCACTGGAGTTGGCGAGGGGGACAGTTAATGATAATTCTATACATCACCATTAGTATATATACAATTACTCCATACCCCATACTTCCATAAAGGGTAATGGTATAGCAGACGTACCATGCTTCCCCACCAACAAAAAGAACCAGACACTTCCGGTCAAATTCACCACCAGGGGAATCGAATAAGCAGGAGTGCGAAGCAGATTCACAACCGTCCAGAATAACGTGGTGATCTTTTTGCGGAGCCAGGATGGTGGTTTTGACTGTTTCTGCTGCTGCATCCATGCCGGTTGTTGCTGGTCTTGGTGGCTAGCTGGGGGAGGATTATCTTCCTCGCTTTCTTCTCCCCGTTCATCCTCGGGGCGTGTTTCGTCGGTGTATTCGGGAGACACAGCTGTTAGGGGGACGTTGGTTTCATCATTGGTGGTGGTGATGGTGTCCGGTTGCTGCTGCTGCTGCTGTTGCTGGCGGGCTGCAAAGTCCGCGGCTGCGCGCCGGATGAAAGGGGTGGTGAACCCCCAAGCTACCCCGACTAGAAGGAAGGAGAGAATGTAGTTGATTACGGGGGGGTTGGAGGGGTCTGCTGTGTCTGGTTCTGGGTCCATCTTAAGGGATTCTTTTCTGATGGTAGGGAGGATGGGATGGGATGAAGTGCCAAACAGTTAAGGGAGGTGTGGAGATGGACGAATGGTTGATGCATGCATGCGGTTAGTAGTTAGTTGGTTGATGGGGCTCGGCGGGAGGGCGGGTCGGGGAACGGCCAGGCGGGTGGAGGTTCGTTATTTACGTACTTATATAGTTATGCTGAGAGCTGGTCTGTAGTCAATTGTAGGATATGGAAATAGATTTATTGTAATGTTTGATTGCTTTTCTTTTTTGTTGTGGGATTCTTTCTGGTGTATGAATTGTAGGGTTAATATATCTGTCGCTGTACAGTATCTGTTGAGTGGTATTAACCCACCCTACTACAATTAGGCAACCACGGGAGAAGCTTTGAGTTCTAAAGGTCATGTATTGATATCGCTTATGATATACTATCGTTGCAAGGACCTGTATCTGATTGACTAGTTTGGTGTACAATGCTATTTGGGTTATTGTTTGGGAACTTTATAATCCATGATCCCGCAAGCCACCATTTTTGAGAGGGTGTACAGAACTTGAAGAAAACATACGCCATTGAATCATGCGGGATGATACAAATGTACATTAAGACGCGAATCCTTGGTTAGAATGCTTGTATCAATTACTTCATCCAAATCACAGTGTATCAGCTTGATTTGTACACTAGCCAAAAGATAGCTGCCTCTTTACCATCGAAGAGACTCCTATCTAGCCCTGTTCAGCATCATTTCCGGAACCCTAAGCATTGACAGTCATACCAGCTAGTAAAGCATGATAAATTCAACGGTTGACTGGCTCGATCACTTGAGACATTAGATGGCCAGAACCTCGCTTAGATTAACCGATTAGCGCATTTGGACTAGCCAGATGCTCCTTGCCTATAACCGAGTATAAGGGCTACTATCCCATACAGCTTTGACGTGCGAATCAGCACTAATTTAGCGCTTCGCCTTATTGCTTTTCAGCTCAGTCTAGATCCACAATATCTCCTAAGTCAAGCTGGCAGTAGGTACAAAGCAGTTAGCTACACCGCTCGGACCGACTGAAGTTACAGTCCCTAGTACTTAGTTCTCTTGAGTGTTGTTTCCCATATCTCATCATCCAGATTTCCCATACCAAGTAAGCCGGTTAAATACAAGACATAAAAATAACCGATTCGAGCTTCGTAGTCAATATATCCTGGGTTTACTTATCAAAGAGATCATAAATCCAGGTGGCGACTAAGCCTTGGGCACAGCCTCGATGATACTATCCCGCAGGCTCATCGTATAAGTATACACTTGATTGATAGTCAGCCCAGCCTCTTCCGCCAGACGGTACCACTGCCCCTCAGTACGTTCCCTTGCTCCTAGAGTAGCCATCATCAACATATCCAATTGCGCCTGCTGCCAGTGCACCCCCGTGTTAGGCAATACCATCTCGTCAATCAAGAGATATGAGTCCGGTGCCATGGCTTCGATTATATTCTTGATAATCTCTAGAACTTTATAGTCGGGCCAGTCATGGAAGATGTTCCGCAGATAGTAGAATTTCGCACCTGAATTCCCCATTGGATAAGTCACAAATGAAGGATCAAAAGGGCAACTGAGACCAGGGATAGACTGTACCTTTCACAACCTGGGGCGTAAAAAAGTCATACGTCTGCTTCTCCACCCCAGGGAAGTCAATGGCGTGAGCTAAGGTCTGGGCAAGGTCCTGGACGATCACTCGGCCCTCGAGCTGGGGGTAGCGCTGCTTGAAGCCAATTGCTTGGTGTCCCAAGCCACCCCCAATATCAACGAATAGGGCTCTTTCAGGGCTCAGACCAGTCGCCTTCTCCAAGACTGGGTAGGCGTCTAGGAAAGTAGGCATGCCGGCGCGGTTAGACATCATGTGCTCCACAAAATAGCCTAGGGCCTCGGGATTCTGCTGCATATAGATGAAAGCTGGTACGTCGGTGTTGAGGGCTTTTTGAAAAGGAGTTTTGACATTGTCCTGAATGTCAGGAAAGTTGTTTTCCTTGAGCCAACTGGGAAGTATCTGGATTATCTGACCGCAGTTGTTCCACCTGATCAAGTTAGTTATTCTTTCAATGTACATAAAATGATAAAAAGGTGGTCTAATTACATATGTCCAACCGCAGCTTGATGGCCAGATACGGCAAACGTCTTCGATATATTTGATGCAGTGAAGGTATCTTTGGATACCTCCTCGACTGCATAATAAGATGCCAAATAGCGCAGTATACGAGCTGATAGGCTTAAATTAGAACCAGCGTTTGAAGAGAGACGCAAAAAGCTCACCAAGGAAGACCTGATTGGCTCCCGTCTTCTGGCTCAGCTCATCCACAGTAAGGGGACCCTCAAGCAATAGCTCGAAGAGCTTCAGGTCAATACCGATACGAATTCCGGCCAGTTGCATGTTCTTAACGGCGAATAGATTAGAATTGGAAGTTTGTATCTCAAGTTCGGCGTGTTTGTTTGGAATGGGGGGAAACGTACATAGAATGTAAGTCGCTGTACAGTGTCGTCCGGAGACTCAATTGAGACACTCAGCTTATGCAGGGCATCCAAGACGTCTTTGCGAGTTATTTCATCACCAGCTTCGACCAGTCTGCGAACTTCTTGGGTAAGTGCTTCCATCGTGTTTCTTTCTCTAGAAGCTTAGGTTCTTGTCCTTCAAGTTCAGGAGAGGCTATTAGAGAAAAAAAGTAAAGAGATCACAATGAGATTGGACAGAGGGAAGTATATAAAGCTTTAAAAAGGTGTCGGAAAAAGAAAGAAAGAACCGGATAAAGGCGAAGCAAGCCTCCATTGCTCGAGGCTCTCAATTGTCTCTTATCACCTGACGGTAGGAATAGTCCAGCTAAAATCTGACAAGCAGTTGGACACTAAATTAGTGTAATTATACAACACTATACCGCATGCTAGTAGCAGTTCATCTAACTTTCAACCAATGAGAGACTATACTCCCATGAGCAACTAACTAGATCCATACCATGGCACAGTATGTAGCTAGGAATGTAGCTAGGATGCTTTCAATTAGGGCTCACTCTCCATCATATGAGCACTTCCAAAGTCAGGACCCTAGTTCAGATCAGCTGGAAAGCAATACTCTACTCTTTGCACCAAAATTTATGCAACTCGAAAGATAGCAGCTGGGTATCACATTCATATCTGCAAAATAACTATATACAAGGCAACACACCATTATCACCACTCCACCCGGTCATCATGCACTAACTGCACATCCCATCGCTCTTCCCCGCGCCATACCCTTCCCGGTCGATTCCGCCCCGCCACCGCTGTTCGCAGCGTGGTAATCATCCCCGCCGGACCGCTGGCGAGCACCCGCGTCGGACCATCGACCACCCGATCCAGGAAATCCTCGACAATGTCCTCGAGGTCCGGATGATGATGGGCCGCTGCTGCTGTCCCAGCGACTGTAGCGTCTTCAGATGAGAGGGTATACTGCACCGCAACCCCAGAGTCCGACGACGCACTCGACCCTGCACAGCAGGGCGATTTCTCGAGGTCGGAGACCTTAGGGACTGGCGCCGTCTCCCGTGTCACGAAGATGCGAACTCTGAACGTGCTCGAGTGCGTTGATGCCAGACGCTGCAGGATGTCGAGCTCCGGGGCGATCCATTGCATGTCGGCCTTGCGGCGGATGATCCAGATGAGTTCAAGGATCTGCGTCGGTTGGGACTTAGAAGTGGATGCGTTGCTGAGTAAATGGAGAAGTGGGGGAAGCACGAAGGTGATGCCAGTCCCGCCGGCAATGCAGAGGAGGTTGCTGCTTCCAGCGGTTGTAGTTTCCTCCATGATGGACTGGCCGTAAGGTCCACAGAGAATGACAGGGGTGGTCAGGCCGGCGCTTGTCATCGTGGTGGTCTCACCGTCACTCGGTTGAGGATTTTGTGACGAGATGCGTGCGAAGTGGGCGAGTTCCCGCGTCAGTCCCTTCCGGGCGCGGATGATGTAGGTGTGCGGCTGGCCGGTGGGTAAGGTGTCTGGTACGCTGCAGGGGGTGAGTGGGTGAGCTTGCCACAGACTCAACTGCGGGAAGCAGAGGAAGAAGTGCTGGCCGATGTGCCAGGGGTCGTGATTATGGTGAAAGTCAAGGCGGATGATGTCGCCATCGTCCGGGTTGGGGTGCAACTGGATCGCGGCGTGCGGGATGTGCAACCCTCCGGTGGTGGAAGACGTCGTGGTCGGGACGTTCAGATGATGCAGCACGAAGACGCGAACGAGACGGATCCCCCGGTCCAGGAACCAGACTACCAGCGACGCCAGCATCCAGCAGTACAGGTGTGACCAATGCGCCCAGCAAGCCCCGACATAGACCATGGCGACTACGTAGTGAGCCTTGCGGAAGAACTCGTAGCCCGTCAGCTGGATGCCGCGCTTAGTGCTGTGGAAGACTAGGAAGGAGAGCAGGATCATGGCAACGATGCCCCAGATGATGTACGGCTGCGTGATGAAGCTGTTCCACTGCGCGGGCTGCGGCTGGTAGAGCTTCCCCTCAACTATAGTCCAGCCGATGGTGTGCATGGCCGACTGAATGTAGATCACCCATCCCAGCCAGCGGTGGAGGAAGTTGAAGTGATGGTATGGAACGCCGGTAATCAGCGAAAGCAATGATTCCCGGCTGGAGAGCAGGATGGACAATGGCGTGAGGGCGAACGCCAGCACACCGATGCGGTCCGCCCACGGACCCAGTCCACTGCGCGTGTTGTTGAGCGAACTGCCGCTAATGGGAGTGACCCAGGTCTTGTAGGTGATACCCACCAGGGTAAATACCAGCAGATACCCGGAGATAATCAGGAATATAAGGACTTGCAGACGTGTGGTATGTCCAAACACCCAGGGCAAGGCTTCCGGGAGCAGATGTCGCCGGACAAGCGCCTGGATCGTCCGCGAAAGACGGTAGGGAGCACTCTGGCGGACAGGCTTGGGCGAGGTCCTGGCTACAGATCGATCAAACCGAACGAGGAGTCCCCCCAACGCCCATAGGAACAATATTCCCACGACCACCGCCCACAGAATGAAGCTGTAGAGCATGCTGACATCGTGGCCGTGGTAAACCGCGTCCAAATAGGCGCAGGTACCGGCATCTTTGGTGCAGGGGACCTGGCGGGCAACATACCCCCAGTGGTATTCCATGGCGGAATCCTGGGAGAAGTCCTGAATATGTCCCATGGTGGAGGAAGTGTCGATGGGATAAAATTTGCAGGTGTGCTCGAGCCGGTGGCAGTGGCCATTTCTATATCCTCAGGATTGGATGTGGAGTCATTGCGGTGGAGTCGCCAAGGCCGATATCTGCTCATCGCCAAGCATCGTACGTGATAATCTGCTCAATTCACGCTTCGTATAAGTAGACCGTGCCATTCCCCTCTCCATTGGCTCCCAAACTGCAACACAATCACCATCACCATCACCACCACCACCATGGACATGCACATGGACATGTCCAGCTCCAATTCGAGCGCCTGCTCGGTAGCCGTACGTCGTCTCACCCTCTGCTTGATATCTGATGACTAATCAGCATGGCAGATGTTATGGAATTGGACCACCATCGATGCCTGTATGAATTCTTAGTGCTCTGTATAGCTCTGATCCATCCAGCCCTAACCATTGCAGGTTTCCTCTCCTCCACCTGGCACATCAACACGGCGGGCCAATTCGCCGTCTCATGCATCGCAGTCGCCTTTCTCGTCGTTTTGCTCGACTTCCTCCGCCTCCTAAGCAAGCAATACGAGGACCATCTCCAACGACAATTCCAGCGCTACGTTGCAGCGCAAACAACATCGGACCGCATGCAGTTTTTCTGCGGTGACAGCCTAGAGCACGGGCCAACGGTGCTTACCTTCCGAGCCAGTCCCTGGCAGCAGTTGGCGCGGGCGCTACTGCACACGCTGCAGTTCGGGCTCGCGTACATTATCATGCTGATCGCCATGTACTACAATGGGTACATGATTATCTCTATCTTCCTGGGGGCGTTTCTGGGGAAGGTGTTCTGCGACCGGGGCGAGTACCGTGTCGTGGTGGCGCGGCCAGGGGCCAGGGCAACGGATACGACGAAAGCAATGGAGATAGAGCCGGGGAAACAGACAGAAGAGTGGACGACGGGTTGTTGTGGGTAGTTATGATACAGTCTATAGTGCAACGAAGCCCATGATGTTTGAAGTTCAGATTGTTTCAGATTAATATTGTAAGATTGGAGGGGCCCTTGAGTGCTTAGTCATGAATATCGTTGCTGCCTCATTATGGCCTAGTTGCCTGACTATGCTTCTTTTGTAACATCAGGTCAGAGCGCTGTCATATTCCCTCAATCATGCTCAGACCCACTTAAGACCCAACTTCGGGTCTTGCTACTTTGCTGTTTTGAGGTAATTTCTCACGTCGCCAATGGTTATGGGTTGTTGGGGCTCGGCGGGGCAACTGGTGGGTGGATAATCTCTTGATTACTTTCTCCAAAGCAATTCGTTGATCAGCGCATAACAGTGTTGTTTAGTTACACTAAAGCTGATCTAAGCGTCAGACGACCCCGCGCGTCAGAGGGCGTTTATTCAGAAGACTGGTCACGCTGGTCTAGCATATCATCTAGACAGTTCATAATATCGTCCATAGAAACGCTGAGGTCGGAATCACTGGTGCCCCGTTGACTCTTGTACACCTCGAAAACGATATTGCGGGCCAGTGTTTCAACATCCCAGGCATTTGCCCAAGACCTTGTCTTTTGCAACCGGGCAAACAGGTCCCGAACAGTTGAATCTTCCCGTTCACTAATGGTAGGGCTCCGATCCACTCTTATCTGGAGCTTCCCTAGCTGCACTTCAAGATATTCGAGGCAGTGAGCTGGGCTCATCGAGGGAAAGACAATATCGGTGGGGAACCGAGACCGTAAACCCGTATTAATATGAAGTAGCCTATCCATATCATCCGAGTAGCCAGCTAGGACAATCACGGGCTTGCGAGAGTAGCGTTGCTTTGTCATACAGTCGACCAATTCTCCAACAGCTTCATTAGCAAAGCTCGAGCAGTTGCCAGTGGACATTCCCGCTAGCCGATAAGCTTCGTCGATGAATAATACCTTGCCCAAAGCCCGCTCCAGAAGATTGATCACCTTGGGTCCTGTTTGCCCTTCATACTCGCCTATCAAATCTGTCGCAGAGCAATCAATGACTTCGGAGGTGGAGAGGAATCCCATCTCGTAGAATATATCACCACAAATGCGAGCTGTAGTAGTTTTCCCGGTCCCTGGTGGCCCCTTGAAGACAAATGCGAATGGATTATATGGACGCGGATCGATCCCCTGCAGTCGCATCCCGGACGATAGCATCTGATAGCTTCTGAAAAGGTAGATGATAGGGTCCATGCCGATCATTGATGAGAGGAGTGATCACATGCCTTGCTACCATCGAAGGCCCTATCAGGAACATCACCATATAACCTGCATGACTGGTGCGGTCTCAAAGCAATTCTTCTTCATATGCATGCAGCATTATCACACTTGTGAGGCTCAGTGTGCTCGAATGAACAATGCCTTGCCATTGGAATCAGTATTATACCGCCCTCGGGCAATAGTTGATCTCCGACACAGATGTTTGAAGGTGTGTCTTATGTCGGTGATTCATATCTCACACAGAATGCACCTGGTCACTACACAGCAACAACCTCTGGTCTAGCTATTGCGGAACGACTTCGGGCGCATGTATCATGTATAATTTTGGCTACCAAACCAGGCAGCCCCTCTGCCTGATCCAGTGGAGCTGGTCACAGATTCAGGTGGATTCACACCCCACCCCCTTGCGTGGCCGGGGCAGGGGAAACACATGGACGGCCTCTTCCGATCGCGGTAAGTTTTATTTCCGTGCTTGTTGTGGTGGTGATCTATAAGGTTCCGGTCAGAAGTCTGGTAAAGGGGTTGGAGGCCCTAGCGCCCTCGTACCACCTGCACATGCTCGCTCCTCACCATACCGTCCAAACTCTCCTCACCCGGTTATAAGTTTCCTGCTTACCCGCCATGAAGCTGGCGCCATCGTTGGCTACTTCAATCTATGATGCTTATTATGCTTGGTATGCGCAGTACAGCCATAGCATTTCAACAAGAACACTCGAGGATGAACACATGACAATCAATATATGGTCCAACGCATGAACCCACACCATGTACCTTGTCCAGACAAACTCAGCGCCTGTGCACTCAGAGTGAGGCTAAAGCCCGTTCCGAGGGCTTCTGCCCAATGACAATATTCAGCTGCGGCGCATATCCATGCTTCATCACGTCGTCCCGCAATTCGTCCAAGAAAGCATCGTACTCAGCCGGGGTTCTTGCCACCCCAGGGATACCGCCAGGGGGCATTTTATGCCCGAGGCTGCGGAATCCTTCCACCAATATATGAGCAGAGGTCACTTTCCACTGCTCCTCTCTAGCCATGGCACCATACCCCAAAGCGAACGATGTTTTCTTAATGTTCCTAAACCCCAGGTCACTGAGCAAATCCTCCAGTTCATAAGCAATATAAGCATTCATCCCGAAAGCAGCAGTGCTCCACCTTTGGAACTCCGTCATCTTGGCAAGGGTAGGGAACTTAACAGGGTCAAATGGTGTGTCACGATCTACCCATTGGGCTTCCACGAGCTGAATCCAGCCTCCAGGCTTCAACACTGAACGCAAGTTCCCCACGGCCTGTGGCCATTCCGAGCTTTTCAGGCCCCATATAAGATAACGTTGATGAACGATGTCGAAGCTTTCTGGTAGGTGCAGATGCTTTGGAATTGGCTTCCGGATATCATGCTTCTGAAGATCCACAATCGGACCGTCTGCAGATGGGGGCGGGAAAAGCGCGGAGCCAATGTCGATGCCATGAAGGGACCATTTCTGATTGGGATAGTGCTGTGCTAGAGAACGAAGCCAGGTTCCTACTCCAGCATCATGAGTCAACGGAATTATCCTGACGCTAGAAGGGCTCCCTCCTTTCCACTTACCGTCCGCTGCACCAGCGTCCAGAATCCTCAGTGTAGCATTGGTCTCCACAGGCATGCCCAGGAGAAGGCCTCCTGTGGATGACAGAATGAAGTTGTGCTGCCGTTGGAGACGGTCGATCTCCCGTTTATGGTGCGGGAGGTTGTAAATCCCTTCGGTTCCAACGAAAGCGTTGCCTTTCGGGGCGGCAGAGGTGGATCTCGCAATGGCCATGATGATACAAATGGGGATAAGGTGGGAACTCTTCCTGACACGTTTCCAAGACACCAGTGCCTCCCTAGCCTTTAAATAGGAAGCGGGGGCTTTGGTCGGGTGGAGCTGATGTGATGAATCCTGGACCCTTAACTCGGTAGTTATAGTCACCTAGCATGTCCTTCATCCAAGGACACGAGCCATTCAGCTGCGAAGCTTTCTGTGTTGTCTGAAAGGGTTAATGTAGGTGGTCATCTGCAATCAGGCTGGCCATTACGGGACTAATCGGAATAGACGACATCATATGTCAAAATGTTGCCTGTGAGACCAGAAACGACATATCGGACAGCAGACGGAGCAATACGTCCGTCCCAAAATCATACTACCTATAAAAGAGACCATTATTCTCCACTTCCATTAACCCCTTTTCTACACACACAATCACACTCTACCTTTTAACATAATCTTCTCGTTGAATTCAGGACTGACCCAAACCCATCAATTCCCGCAAACAAGACAGAAACAATATACCCCGAAAGACACCCTCGTCCCTCTCTCCAACCAATTCCCACTAACCTAAGATAGTCATCTACCGACAATCAAACGCCACCCTACAACACTGCCAATCCTTCAGCCCCCCAGCACAATCCTTACACGCCATCTTCTTCCCCAAATCGATTTTCCGTCCGGCATACCAAGCATCGCCCTCCGGCTTGTTCCCACCGCCCTTAACATCAACCTCCACCGTCCACGGCAGCAACGAATGCAGAGACCAGTGGCCTGTATCGAGACTCTGAGGAAGGGCTCCAAGTCCCCTGCAGGAGCGATCGTAGACGTAGGTCTCGCGCAGCTGGACCCGGCCGTTGGGTGCGTACGTGGCGATTCCGAGGTTGCAGTAGTTTGCGCCTGTTGGGGTGCAGAGGTCGGAGACGAGGTCGTAGGGCGCAGAGGAGGTGATGATATTGGGGGTGGAAGAGATGATATTGGCAGCGGATTGGGTGGCGTCGTGGGCGATGTCCAGGGCGGCGGTTAGGGGGTTGGTTGGGTGGGCGAGGGTGAAGGGGAGGAGAAGGGAGAGGGTGGTGAGGAGGTTCATTTTGGTAGTAGATAGTAGGCAGTAGTTGTTACAAGGTGGTAAGTAGATTTTACTATCTGGTGTTTGTTTGAAGACTCCCTAGGCTGGGTTGTAGCTGATGATATGGAAGTAGTCATGGTCCTATATATAGGTTGTTTGTCCCTTATGATAGTCCATGTTCGGTTCTGGCTGGGTTCCAGTCATGTATCTGCCTAGTTCTCGGTACTCAGTACTTGGTCAATTGACCAACTCGTATCTGCATGACGTTAGGCATATACGGAGGGAATATACAAATTCAATCTGTCTGGGGGATTGCAAACCCGGCTATCATGACGGACGGGGCAGTGTAGGGGTATATACGCGCACAAGAGAGAATTAAACGACTGAAAACACCATCCAAAAGTGACACAGTGACACAGCCGTTCGGATAATGAGGTAATGTGCATGTGGACGTGAATGACCTCAATTCGCCCAGGGTCGTGTCTAGATTTGAGATCAATGAGGCGGCGGCTCCTAGTCTGGAAGGTAATCTCGGGTAGTATATAAGGGTCAAATTGACCATGTGTGCCTAATTTGTACTACAGTTCATTGCTCGTTGTAGCTTGGTGGTGGTTATTGGACGGTTGGCTTTTTTTCTTGGTCTTGGACTTTGCGTGTCTGCGCCCTGTGTCGAAGTTGTGCTGTTCAGTTAGTTGTCTGCAATTTATGAGACCGGTCAGGTGCTGAGGAGAAATTTATGAGCGTGTTGATGAATGCCTAGCTTGTTTGTATTTATAATCGCGTTTGTCTGGGTGCTACGTCACTGGAAATTATGGTAAAGACGACGAGACACTAGTATTCGGGAGCAATTACGTGACTACCTATTGGTTTAAACCAATCGGTATGAGGAGCTTCAGACAGTATGTCTGCAATAAACTCCAAAGCAAGCCGTGGAATTCTATGTCCAAACAATTGCTTTCTCTAATTTTCTTAATACAATGCTACCAATGCACTCACACAAGCAAAGCTCCCGAATCCGAGCTCACAATCCGTCCAGTGACGTTCACATCCTTCATCAGATATATGTAAGCCTCTGCCACTTCTTCCGGTAGACCGACCCTTCCCGTCGGATTCTTCGCTGCGGCAAATTGGCATAGACCTTCTTGCTCCTCTTCATTCATCAGATCGTTCCAAAGCGGAGTTTTCACCAGTCCAGGACTCACAGCGTTCACACGTATCGGCTTCAAATCAACCGCCAGATTACGTGCAACACTGCAAGTACCACCCAAGTAACCAGCTACCGCGGACCAATTGGCCATCGGGCGTTCCCAATTGGTTCCCGTCGTCAAGGTAATAGATGACTCGGGACCCGGGGAGAGGTATCGAGAGCCAATTTTAGCAACGAGAACGGCCGCGAAAAAGCGCACTTGACCGGCAGCGATGAGCTTCTCCCGAGTGATTTCCTGCACGGGCATGATGGCTGGCGCATCGGTGGCGGTGAAGACAATGTGGTCAACTTGGTTGGTCTTTTGGAAGAGCGCCTCGAGGTCTTCTTCGACAGTGTCTTTGGAAAGATCGCAAACGTGTCCTTGAATGTGACCACTTAGGAATTCCGACTTGAGATCTTGGATGGTGGATTCAATGCGACTGCTTGAGGATGAAGACACAGTGACTCTGGCTGATGCGGCTAGTGATAGTTTGGCCACTCCCAGGCCTATGCCGGAGGTGCCTCCGAAGATCAGGACATGCTTGCCCGCGAGTTTGTTGTAATTGTAGCTGCTGGAGGACATATTGTCTGGTTGGGGAGTTTCGAAGATGGAAACAACGAGTTTTGGTCTATGGGAAAACTCATTTTATATCCTTCGCAGTACAGCTCATGATGTCAAATATTAGTGTGTGTCCACTTAAGTCCGCTTAAGTCCGCGTCAGCAGGTGTGGGGGAATCTGTTTCCGGATGGATTGCATCCCCACACGCCCAGTCTCCGATCATTATCTCCTTTGCTTTAGGGTTAGCAGAGGTAAGCAGGAGATCACATAGCTACAATTATATTAGAGTGAGAACTGGTGAAGGACTTGGCAGACATAAGTCAGTGGAAATACACTCTAGGCATGAATACTTTGCTCTGGTGCTGCTGGTGGGCGTTTATTCAGCGGTAATTTAGTCGAATTCTCCACTAGCAAATAACTCGGTCGAATCATCCTGCAACTAAGAATTGATACTATACCTATTTTATATAATATTGAAGTACTCTCTTATAACAGTCAGATGAGATTGTATTCCTGAGGTTTTAAACTTGCAAGCATTCAGAGAAAGCCGATTACTAACTCATCGATTATTGAGTGTCCTTGGAGTCTTTATTTAGTTAAAGATAAATGTTAGTTTTTTCTTACAAACTTAGTACTTATATAGACAATCTTATTGAGTATTAGGATTCAATTTGTATGAATCTAACGTGAGTGTTCACGTACCTATTCCCTTTAGTAATACCAGAGCGGGCAAGAGGCAATCTGTCAGATAAATCATAATCAGAACCCCTTGAACTGAGAGTATTTTCCTTAGAACGAGAATCGAGATAGGGTAAGACTCCAGCTTCGGTCTCACTATCAAACCCGAGGGGATGCCGCCGGGCATGGGTGCCCGTGCGCCCGGTCTCCGATCATTATCTCCTTTGCTTGATGTAGAAGTACCAGAGATGTGCGAAATATTCCACCTGTCAGAATATTGCTTAGCAAGAGACTCAAAGATTAGTGCTTACTTTGGATCTGGAGTAGAAATCAAGCAATCCCCAGATTCGGTCTCACTGTCAAATCCGAGAATCCGAGCGCAAAAATGAGATTTGTAAGATGTTTGCATCTGAGCTTATCCATGCAAACAAGCACCCCATACAAACTAAGTAGATAGCCAATCACATGCCAGGTTCTTCTCTAACAAACAGAGCAAACCAGACAAATATCATCATGAAGTCCGACATGGCCATTCAACAATGTGATCTTCAACAGACCATAAATTGGGCCAATTTCCTGCCAGAATGATGCTTCTGTGTACCTCATCATCCTCTCGATTATACAATTCCCACTTTGACTTAAAACCCTGACACAATGCAGTCACCCTTGGCGCAGAAGAGATTGGCCGGGTTTGACTTGGTCCAAACCAACTATAAAACAGTCGGCGATCACAACATCCGCGCCGATTTCATAATCCCCCAGTCAAACTACACCGGCAAACGGCCAGTTATCCTCCGTTTCCATGGCGGTGGTTTCGTAAGTGACCCACTCACTAGACCAGCACCATCAATACATGCGATTGCTAACCCGCAGTAGCTAACCGGAGAATCGCTCTTCTTTGAATGGTTCCCCCAATACCTCTTCGACATCGCGAAACAGCACAATGCGGTGATCGTATCTCCGAACTACCGCCTCCTCCCCGAGGTCACCACCCTCGACCTTTTCGACGACATTGAGGATTTCTGGATCTGGCTGCATTCGCCTGCAGCGGCGGAACTTCTCTCATCCCAGCCTAATCCAACAGAACTCGACTTGGACCGCATTATTACTGCCGGCGAATCCGCCGGGGGCACACTCAGCATCTGTCACGCCCTGGCGCACCCAGAGGAGATCCGGGCTGCAACAGCAAGCTTTCCTGGCTTTCTCAGTGCTCCTGTCGAGGATGGTTCCGTACGGAAGGACCCACCTCGTTTGAGCGGTCTGTCTCTGGAAGAGGCAAACCGTGTTGTTGATGAAGCGATCAGAAATGGTGAACAGGGAGTAGTCCAATCATCAATTACGCCGCCTGAGCGATTGCCTTTAATGCTTGCCGTTATTGAGGTTTCACGCCTCTATGAACTTTACGAACGTGGAACTGAGAAAGACCCCCGGCGGGCATTGCGGCACCCTATGGAACGGCTGGATGAGCCGGACGTCAAAATCCCCCGTGGAGGTATCTCTATCCGACACGGCCTGGAAGATGACATCTTGCCTCCGGAGGTTAGTCAAGCCTTCGTGGACAAGGCAAGGAAAGTGATGGATGGGAAGCCGGGAGGGGATAAAATTGTTTTGGCACTGCGGCCAGGGGGTCATGGCTTTGAAAGCGAGACTACAGGAGATGAGGAGTGGTTGCAGGAGAACCTGCGGTTTGCTATCGAGGCGTGGCTGGAATAGATTACTTGACATGGTCTATCACGGCACGACCATTCCAGAAGCCTTTTATGTCGGACTCAGCCAGAACATCTCTCTTTTGTTGATAGATCAAGATGATACATAATCTAACTACTAATTCATTTCTAACTATTATATCCATTCTTCACTCTCATTGAATTACAGTTCGGTTCTCATCTTTTTACAAAAAAATACCATTCTCATTGCAAAAGTACAGCGATGCGATGCGATCCGTCTATAAGTTCTCACCATCTCCATCATCATTGAGCTCCCTAACCTGCATCTTACGAACATTCTCTCTCTCTCTGTGACACCCACAATGGGTTTATTTACCAAGTACAACCCCATTCAAAGAAAGTTATCATGCTAACCAACCGATCCAGATGCCCAATCTAAACAACGACCAAAACAAAGGCCCAGACATCCACGCCTGGCTTAGATAGCTGGATACGAACATTTCCAGCAAACAACAATCACTACGTATATACAATCATGCTACTCAATATTCCGGACTATCAATGATATCACATCTCATTACCATTACCATTACCATCAAATCAAACACACATATACCATATCACCCCCTTCACAAAACTCCATCAATCAATACTTAATAAGTCCCATCCTCCCACTCCCCCTCATCAGCATCCTCATCCAACTCCCTAATAGCCCTAGTTCCCCCCGCAGCACCCATTCCACCCTGCGTATCCAACAACGCGGCCTCCCGACCCGCAGAATCGAATCTCCGCTCTTCGAAAACCGGCTCCTCGCCTAGGTTCTGGTATCCGGTGCGGACGGTAGTAGCCCCAGTGGGGTCGGTGTGTGAGGTGGTGGCGTAGCGGTGGCCGGTCGTTTCGGTTCGGGGGTTGTTGTTGTTGTTGTTGTTGTTGTTGTTGTTGTCGTTAGAGGTGGAAGAGGAGTAGGAAGAGTAGGCGGAGGAGGAGCTGGAGGTGGTGCGGTAGGACATTTTGTTTTTTGTTGTTGTGTGGTGTTGTGGTGTGTTGTGGTGGTAGTAAGATGATATCCGAGTATATTCAGAAAGGTTTAATCAATTGACAATAGACCAGTAATTATATAATAGATTAACCTACTTCAAAATATTAATTAAATAATAGGCATTGTCCTCGAACGAAGAAGGATACTTATACCTACACCTCAACTCCAGTGGCAACAAATGTGATGTCATCCCCCTCACAACCCACCATCTCCATAACAGCCAGCCAAACTAAAGGTAACTTCACAAATAAGAGGACTTAAATGGGCTTCTCCGCATGGGTTCAATGTCAACCAATGGTTCATAATGAAGTCAATTTGAATCATGATCCTTTTCCTTATTGGTTCGTGATTGTCTCATTCATTGCGGGTCTTGGCCCTTCGATTTCTTCCATTGGGGTTCTAGAATTGCTTTCGTCCAGGTTTTTTGCTGGGCTTGTGTAGCTCTGGTTCAGAGGGGATTCAATTGCGTGTACGGGGTATAGTGACTGGGATTAGTATTGAACTACTTTTGGTATTCAATGATTACTCCATGTTATGTCTACTCCCTAGTGGCTGGTGACATCACTGTTATCGGCGTGGTTCGCATATCGCATCCTTCAGACAGTGTAAAGACTTTTGATGAGTAACATTGGTATCATAAAGATAGCTAGCTATCTAGAATAAGAATGAAAAGCTACCTAAACCGAAAGAAAAGACATGAAAGAAGCTATCTGAAGCAAACACTTGAACCTGCCAGAGACAAGAAGAAAAGAAAAACATCCTATCTAGAGAAAAAAAAATGCAGCACATCGCTGTTCATAACGCAAAGAACAAGTATCTATCTAAGACACGTAACTAAGGGCATATCTTTTCATGCCTCGACCAGATCCTCCAATATCTATCGTATTGAGCTCTCGGCTCAGAGCATCGTAGCTTTGATCTATGTTTCCGTAACTTTTTGTTGGTAGCCCGACCGGCACCTTAGATGGTATAGGGGGGTTGTTTGCCTCGGCATATAGCCGTGAGGGAGAATTAGAGTATGCTTCGGACATGGACTTGCGATGTCCGTAGTCCTTGGGAGGACTGTCTCGATGAACGGGGCTGCGGAAACGCACAACAACTCCCGGCTTTTTGGTTTTTCGTTCGGGCTCTGGGGCCCAAGTATTTGTAGGCAAATGGTCAGAAGGATCAATTTCCCGACCATCATCCCCGATAATGGGGCCTGACTCTCGCGCTGCTGGCTCTCGCGCCGCTTCAGGCAGATAGGAATCGGGAGAAAATGGAACAGGAGACACCTCTCGGCCCCTCATCGATGGGGGTCGGGGGCTGACTGATTTTCTTCTAGGGACAAGCTGATTATTGGGAGCTGTCGAAGTTCGGCTCACAAGAGACCGAGTATCGACAGGTTTCTTCAGAGGATTCTCGTCATAGAGACCACGAGAATGTCTCCTGTTATCAACTGGCTGATGAACCATTTGCAGCGGATTTTCATCGAAATTACCGCTCCTTCGTCTGACTTCTCGCTCATACGCCGCGCGATCCGATTCGGCTGCTGCAACTACCGGATCAAATCCAGGAACCAGACTTGCTGGCACAGCGTTTGTTGTGGCCACGGCAGTTTCCTCACGCCTGCCTCTGGGATAATCCCAATTGGGATCCCACGACGGGGTCGTATGCAGACTGTTGTCCGAAGCAGGCTTTTCCATCGGCTCGGGCATGGTAACCTGCGGCAGAGGAGCTGGTTGTGTGTACGCCTGAGGAGCCGGTTGCATGTACGTCTGAGGGGCAGGTTGCGTGTACGCCTGAGGGGCAGGGTTCGGCGCCACTGGCACTGGTTGGTTGGAGGGAACCAGTCCTGAGCGATGAGCGGGTGGAGGGGGTGGAAGTCCGTCTTCTTCTTCATCCTCAACACGGGGTTGCATCATCGCGTATGACAGGGAAGAAGGCTGACTGTCGGTGAGAAGTGGGGGCGTATATCCAATCTGTGCATATTCACGGTAATGCCCGTAGGCTGGCTGTTGTGCACTCGAGTTCGTCGAGGTAAACGAACTGCTATCTGGTATTTTTGTGTACTCCGCATGATAAGACGGACATGAACTTGTATTGTACGAGCTCGTGGCATTGCCGACGAGTGAGTTGCTGCTACTGTGAGGCGGTGCCTGGCTAGCGTACTCAACTCGGTGAGGGTTTGGAAGGAGTGGAAGCAAGCTGGAGCTGTCGCTCATCGGTGGGTTGCTATGCTCAACATGAGGCCTTGCGTATTCATGATTCTGATAAGTTGGCAATGAAGTTGTGCTATGTGTGGCACCTGAACCGCTGTCTGAAGGATTGATAGGATAAGGACAGGGATTCGTGTGGTAGGATCCCGTGGAATTGGCAACGACCATACTGTTACTTTCCAGTCGTTGCGGGCTTGCGTATTCTCTATGGTTGTATGTAGGGAGCGAGGTGGTGCTATCACTCATTCCAGAGCTGCTGTTATCCACTCTTGGCTGTCTGAGGTCTTGATGATGGCTGTGACTGTGGTGGTGGAGGGTTGGAGCCGGGTTCGTGCTCTCATTGGCACGAACCGGTGAGCTGCTCGATGTGCCTGAGTGCGCCGAAGATCTCGGGCGAGGATCCGAAGGGAGTGGCCGTCTTTTGACATCTTTCAACTGCCTGGGACCAGAGAGAGTACCAGGGCTAGGCGCCGCGGGACCTGAGCTGAAGGATGCAATCTTCCTTGGGTGGACCTTGTCAGAGGCGGGCGTTCTTCTTTCGATCACCGCTTCATCTTCGGGTCGTGTATCATAGTAGGTCATTTCAAGCCGGACTTCGCCAGCGTATTTTCCACGGTATTGCAAGGGATGCCAGTGGTCGTTTTGACTGCCGCCCGGAATGATCAGATCACTCAGATCGACCCATGTTTCTCCAATGAGGTCGGTCTTTTTCTCATCGTTGAAAACAGATACTTTCAATCTGTAGTAGTCTGGAGATTCGTGTACGTTGAAGCGAAGTTCATCATCCCTACGTCAGTTAGCTTCGTCCATATGACGTCCAAGTTCAGATGGTGGCAAGATACATACCATTTGGGAGTTTGACCACCTCGCAGGTCTGTACCAGTCTTTTTTGCTTCTTTTCCAAGGCGCGCAGCACAGTAGGGGTTCTGCTTGCCCATTGTTTTTCTGTTTGGGAGGTTTTTGGCGCGGTCGGCGACGACCACCAACGTGCCAATGATTGGGCCATCCACGGACATATCCGCAAAGATGCCCGCAGCATGAGCAGTGTGAGCCATTGCCATTAAGCCCCGCTTGGGGACTCTGGCGTCCATCATGTTGCTAGACTATCCTAGGGAGGAATATAATGAAGGAGTGACAAGACGCAGTTCGGTAGGGGTGGATTGACAGAGAGCGTGAAGGAGAGTAACGAAGGACAGATGAGCGTTGGTTGGATGGTTTTGTTTTTCAAATGTGGAGCAGCAAGGTAGAGCAGTAATAGTAACGAGAGACCAGTTCGTTTCGCGTGAAGTTGTTTTGCAGAAAAGAGTGCAGGGAGGGGAGAAAGGGAGGGAGGACGGGCATAGTTCTGGGAGCTGGAGGATCTCGGCTTATCGATAAGCTATGCGCGCACTGATTGGGTGGCGAAAACGGGTGGGGCCGGCCGTAAAAGGGGAGGTTGGGCGGGTGATGTGGCTGGGAGTGGGGCTCTGATTGGCCCGATCGCGCTTTCCTGCTTGGAATCATACCAATGAATACCAGTAATTTTCGTTAGATTACCCGCGTTCTTTGTTCGGATTGGTTGGTGGAGCTGGTGGCGGATCCCAGGAGTCACAAGGTGACAACCTTAGGGATCTGGCCCCCATGTGGAGGCCGGGTTGTAGGATAACTTCCAGCCACGGATTTCTAACCTGAGACGAGTATACAAGACAAAAGATGCTGCACACGCACCTGGATGGGCCTGAAAATGCCACGGTTCCCTTTCTCGTCCTCTCCTTCAAGAGTAGGGCTGTCTTTCAACCGTTCAAACGACACCAAACATGACCGTACTCGACCGCATCAGACGAGGCTATCGCACGAGGGATGATGCTTGCGGTGTCAGTGGAGATGGACAGTAAATCATCCGACGCTGCGGCCGCCCTGCTAGTTGGAGCGGCAGCTCCGTTACAGTGTCTGCCTCCACTCCTTGTGCTGTCGCTGCAGCTTCTGCGACGCCATTGCATACGTCAGTCCCAAAGTTCGTCGAATACGCCTACAATGCAGGGTGTCAATAGTATACAATTCTGCTGCCTGTGCGCTGCATCGGCTTCAGCTTATCCCAGCCACTAAAATTAGGCTTGATTCGTAGAAACACCACAAGCGAGATTGAGCTTCGTAGGCTGATGTCATGACGGGGCGAAGCAATCTGGTAAGGCGCTCTCGAAAAGTTCTAGTCGTGCCATTGTTCCACCAGGAACCCGTCAGGCCGTGAAGCTGGCAGATGTCTACTCCGTCTTCCGTCTCGGAGAGAGTCAATTGAATTCGCGGGCCCGCTGACTCCTGGTTTAGACTAACCTTGGAGTCGCACCCACGTGGAACGCAGGCGGTTGACTGGTTAGTGGTTAGTGTAGCCTGTGGCATTCCGCAAGACGATCGGCAGCGGTAGCTGGGGTGTGGGTGATCGGCTCTGCACGGCCGGGCACGAATAAGGATGGGTCGGACGCTTCCCACGGTGTCCCGGGTGCCTGGCAAGCTGGCCAATAGCGGGTGTCTGGGCTTCCGTGTAAAGTCAAAAAGATGAAGAGCCTGGAGAAATCAAGGAACGAGAAAACAAGGACAAACCCCACTCGAGTAGACATCTGCCGCAACTGGAAGCTTGCGATGGAGCAATGCGATATGGCATGGTCTCCATGCTTTTCCCCCCCAAACCGGGCAACCCCCCGGTAGACGGGAAAAGTTCGGCCAGGCACATACCTAGATCAAGCTCCCCACAACTGATCCATAGCAGGATCCATTCTGTATACCCAAGTATAACTCCAATCCTGCCCGATCAGAATCAAAACGGTCGATGTCTCACTCCACAATGGTCCTTGGCTAATTTAAGCTACCCATTGTCTGATGGTGACAGCATAGATGTCGGTGCTCAAGTGGGCCTCAGATTGGTGATAGGGCATGAGGTCGGAGACATCGTCACATCTAGTTACACTTGACTGTGTTTGTGAGGCGGATATCATTTTTGGTAAGGCGTTGATGAGGCTGTTGAGGCTGTTCAAGACCTCGAATCCAAGTTGTCCAATGCTTGGGTCTGTGTTGGTCAACACGCATAACTGTGGAGCAGACGGTGACTAGAATCTAGATAGAGGAGATAGGAGCTACCGGTCAGCAATGGTAATGGAACTATAGTAAGCGCATTGTCTGAATTGGTCACCGATACTGACTTGGACCAGCTTTGCAGTAGTTTCAGTTCTTGATTCATGACGTGGTTTGGCGTTCGGCGGTGAGATGGGCCTGGGCCTTTGAATGCGGTCTGAACGTTAGCTGATCGCTGTCCAATGATGGGTATGGGGATGATAGCAGTAAAAGAGTAGAGAGGAGAGGGCCCTATGTGTTGTCTGTGTGGATTTGATGTAAGAAACATTCGTGTGGCTGCCTCCGTTGTAGATAGTAGATATGCTGTTGTTAGGGTCAGGGAAGCTACGGCCCGGACACACCAGCCGCGAGGTACTTTTGTCTTCCCCATTCATCTTTACTAAAAAGTGAGCAGAAAGAAAGATCCTGGTGACTTTCAAATTGCATAAATTGACTTTTATATATCTAGATATATAACTATATTGCAATTGAGAAAATTACTCTTCATAGAAATGGTTTCCGGTCCTCTAAGAGACCTTAAAAATGTTTCTGTCAAATGCTATCCTACAAGTCACTCTCGGTGTCAGCACTCAACCAACTTTCCTCTGGACTCTATCTTCATAATGATCAGAAATCAGTGACTACAGTGTCTATCAACTCATACTACTAACAAAATATTTCTCACAATATCGAGAACTATCTCATGGAATACCCATTGTGAACACCTGAGAAAGCACACTAACTCATGAGTAAAAGCTACTCAAAGCCACAATGCATAGCAGTATATCCCAATCCTCAGATCTCATCAGGGCAAAATCTACAAGAATTCTTTCTGATGGATAATTAGCTGATGGGATCAAACTTCAAATGGACTATAGCAGTATCTCGCGCTAAACCTAATCGGGCGCCGATAGACTTTTCCCGATGCGATAGAGGCTCCGTCCAAAAAATTTCCCCGAACCACTTTGACGACGCCGACAACGTCCAAAAGCGCAGGCTGCTGGCTGATCTCTCCTCTTTATACAATTCGGCAGTCTTACATCTCACTTTCCATTAATCTATCCCGACTTGGGCAATCGCAGCCATGGCTGCCCCCGTCCTCCCTCTGCAGCAGGTCAAGCTGCCGGCGCTGCCCTCGACTCGTTTGACGCCGGAGCAACAATATTGGAAGACCTTCAAGAATCCTCTCCTCATCCCCTCGCCTGCCAATGGCCCCGTCAACCTCATCACGCAACCCTCCGCTCCCTCCTCTGCCTCCGCCTTTCCCTCCCTCACCCAACCCCCCGATGTGTTCACCGTGACCACCGGCGCCCGCGTCCAGATCTACTCCATCCGCACTCGCAAACTCCTCCGCACAATCACCCGCTTCGATGATACGGTACGAGGCACAGATGTCCGTCCCGACGGACGAGTCATCGCCGTCGGTGATGACTCTGGTACGGTGCAGGTGTTCGACGTGAGCTCCCGTGCCATCTTGAAGACATGGAAGGACCACAAGCAGCCCGTCTGGGTCACGAAATTCTCCCCCAGCGACCCTACATGCGTCATGACCGCCAGTGACGACCGGACGGTACGCCTGTGGGATTTGCCCAGCGAGAACAGCCAGAAGGTCTTCACCGGCCATACCGATTACGTGCGCAGCGGTGCATTCATGCCGGGGTCTCTAGCCTCCTCTGGCCTGGTGGTCTCCGGTAGTTACGACCGGACCGTGCGACTGTGGGATCCCCGTGTCGAAAACCGGTCCGCAATGACATTCAAGATGGGCGCAGCGATCGAGACGGTGCTCCCCATGCCCACGGGCACCACGGTGCTTGCGGCGGCCGACAACAAGATCGCGGTGCTGGATATCGTGGCCGGCAAGCCCCTGCACATGATTCAGAGCCACCAAAAGACCGTCACGTCGCTGGCGCTGGCGTCGAACGGCGAGCGCCTCCTCTCCGGTGCGCTGGACGGCCACATGAAGGTATTCGAAACGACCGGCTGGAACATGGTCTCGGGCTCCAAGTACCCGTCCCCCATTCTCTCCCTGCGCGCGATCACATCGGGCATCGCCCAGGAAGACAAGCACATTGCCGTCGGTATGCAGTCCGGTCTTCTGTCGATCAAGACCCGGCTGTCCGGACAGCAGAAGATCCGCGAGCGCGAGCGTCGCAAGGAGATGCAGGCGCTGCTGGAGGGCAAGCTGGAGGAGCACGACCGGAAGGCAGCCAAGCAGAAGAAGCAGCGCGGATCCGGGTGGGAGAAGCGCCTGCGCGGACAGGACTTTGTCGGCGAGGGCGTGGACATTGTGATCGAGGGGCGGGACCTCAAGAAGCGGAAGAAGGAGCAACCGTGGGAACTCGACCTGCGCAAGGCGAAGTACTCTGCAGCCCTGGACCAGGTGCTGCGGTCGAACGACAAGACGGCACAATTGACGCTATTGACGGCGCTGCGGCATCGGTCCGCGCTGCGGGCGTCCCTGCAGAACCGCGACGAGGTGACGCTGCAGCCGGTGCTGCAATGGGTGCACAAGAACATCACGGAGCCGCGACTGGTGCAGCTGAGCGTGGAGGTGGCGATGAACGTGCTGGACATCTACTCGGGCAACCTGGGCCAGTCGGCGCAAATCGACAAGATGGTGGAGCGCTTGCACCGACGAGTGCGCGACGAGGTGGAGATGGCGCATCAAGCGTACCAGACGAAGGGAATGTTGGAGATGCTTGCTGCGTGAGCAGGGCCAAAACAAAAACAGACACAAAAAGCATGACCGTTATAGTACTATAGTTACTACTATTGGATACCTGGATGGAGTTTGGTGGCTACATAGATGATACATACATGCATACTTCTTAACCCTCTTCTATACACCCATCCAGCAGATAGTAACCACAAACTACTTAGAATGATCATCATACAGCCTAGAGAACCCCTCCCCAGTCGGCTGCAACCAATTCCTCCCATCATACTCCCACCCCTCGGCCCCCTCAATAACATGAAACGTATAAGCAAACCGACTCTTATCCCCGGTATTCCTCTCACTCTTATGCAAGACATTCCCATGAATCAACACCAACGACCCCGCCTTAACATCCACCACCTCGACCTCCTCCCCTTCCCCTTCACCCTCATCATCATCAACCTCCAAACCCCTCGGAAACCTCCCCCCCTCATTCTCCACAAACCCCGTCCCCACCACCTCCCCCCCATCCTCATCATTATCATAAACCCTAACAAACCTCCTCCCCACCCCTCCATCCCGCCGTCTATGACTCCCCCTCACCATGCCCAAACTGGCATTCCCCTTCCCGGCATCCTGCAACGCAATCCACCACCCAACGGCACTCGGCGGATCCGTGTACAGAAACTCGCTGTCACGGTGCGGGGGCACCGCGCCACCAATCCCCGGCTGCTTGCAAATCACCATGCTTTGCAGCACCCTTGGGTCTTTGAACCCCAGGGATCGGGCGATCTCTGCGTTGCGTTGCGACAGCGTAATGGATTTAAATGGCTCGGAGAGAGTGTGCAGACTATGTCCGATTTTGTTCACCGCGAGGTGTTTGGGCTTGAGCAGCGTCGAGGTCGTGGGGCAGATGGCGGAGGGTTCGAAGAAGTACCGGATTTTGTCCCCGCTTTCGAGGAAGTAGGTGTCGCCGACGTGTTTGTCGGTGGGGGAGGAGGAGTCGCCGGTGGTAAATTGGGTGAGAGGGTGGGTGTCGAGGGGGAAGGTTGTTAGGAGGTTGTTGGTTTCCGTTAGGCAGGCGGAGATTTCGGTGGGGGTGAGGTAGTCGGGGATTATGAGGTAGCCCGTGGTGTTGAAGGTGGAGAGTTGGGCGGGGGTGAGGCCGGGCATGGTTGTGGTGGTTTATTTTGGTGGTGGTTTGGTTTGGTGGTTAGGTGAGGTGAGCGTGTGTGTGTGAAATGTGAGGATGATGTTGGTTAGTTGGTCTGGTGTGGGGGAAGGTTTGGAAATAGGTGGGGTCAGTTGTCAAGTGGTGCATGGGCTTTTTATATGCAGGGACTGGACTTACTTATCGGGTGGCTTATCGGATAGTGGGTGGGGGTTATCTCTAAATGTAGTACTAGATATCTATCTGGATTTGTCTGTGGGTTGGGTCAGCTGATGTGACGGTTGTTATGATTTAATGTAATGTAAGAAAATGTGTGTATACAGCCTAGTAATGATGAAGAGTAAAATGGCCCTAAATCAACATAACCATAAGGATAACGTTGATCACATTCACTGCACAACAACATCCTAATCACCACTCTTAAGAAAAGCCAGAGGGAATAGCAAACAGTTACACAAAAACTGTGTACACCAATCATCAATCTAAAGAGCTATATCTCGTCCAACACAAGTTCTAGACCATCAACGCGGATACTTTCATACCAGTAGGCCAGCGAGAAGCAATGCGGATATATGTGATAATCAGCTAC